TACTACTCTCTCTCTCTCTCTCTCTCTCTCTCTCTCTCTCTCTCTCTCTCTCTCTCTCTCTCTCTCAGAGTCTACTTACAGGAACCGAACTAGAGCTCTGAGGAGCTTGTTTTGGGTATCTTTCATCATCAAGTAAACGAGCAGGAATGTCTTTCTCTGAAACAGGAAACAGTCCATAAGTAACGACAATGTTTATAACAATCTTAACTGTAAAAAAAACAATGTCTTTCAAAATATAAGGGGCTCGACCACACTTGAAATGAATTTGACCATGGCATTTGATCGCACTAAACAGCAGAGTTGAATCCCTTAATCTAGTGTCATGGATATTTTCCTAAGGACCAATAAGTTGAAGTTCAAATCCCACAGTTACATGGTCACGGAATAAAGGAAGTTCGGTGGAAAGCAAATTTATTTTGTTTTGGAAAATTAGAAGAGCTTAATCCTACTCTGTTGACCAAAAAGAAATTGCAATTTATTTTTCTTAAGAAATTTGTTAATTTTTTCTAAAACCATCAGCTATTTCCCAATGTCAGCTAGAGGGCTGGAACCTATATAGTCAGCGAGAAAACAGAAACAGATGATAAAGATGATCCGATAAAACTAATAAAAGCAGAAATGCAATTAACGCCTGAACCAATATCCCATACAGCAAGCTTTAGTTATAGACATAGGAATCGCCAACTCAAGGCTGGGAAGGAATTAGGAATCATCAAGCCCAAGCCACAAGGTCAAAAACCCACCAAGATGCTGAAAAGAAACAATACAAATGCATAAAATGAATTAAGTGTAAAAACAAGAGTAGTTTTGGACCTTGTAAAAATGGTACTGAAACCTCCCCTCCACCAACTCTCAAGACATTATCCTTCAAATCAATTATGCACTACACAAAGATCAAAAGCGTTAGAAAATTCCCAGCAGATTCAACCATAAATTATAAAAGAAGCCAAGCGTAAGCTCAATACCTGGTGCTTTCTCAGCATGTCGAGGCCGAAAAGGAATTCCATATTGGGTGATTCCAATACCATAAAGGAGCATGGATAAAAATTGTTTCCGATCTGTAGAATACGAAAAGTGTCTTTAGACATCATTGAGACAAAAGATAGTGAACATTGGAGGCCCAGAGAGAGTGAAATTAACTAGAACATGACATGACTCCATGGTCTCTCTCTCTCTCTCTAATGACTCCATGGTCTCTCTCTCTCTCTCTCTCTCTCTC